ATTGACACAATAAATCAAATAATCTTTGAATTAGGAGGATAGTGATATAGAGAATAGGGGGATAGGGTTATTGATAACCCTATCCTACTATCTTCCTCCATAATCGAGGATTATATATCCGTTATCAAATTTATAGAATAATAACTTTTTATCCGCAGCTTCGCTTGCGTGGGCGTCAATTTAGGAACATCATTAATACTGTTCCGTGCTACAATTAGGAAAATTGGATCACTCACCTCAGTAACTGTGTCTCTGTGTCTGTTAATGTTGAATTTCATGGTCTTTTATTAATTTACGACATTATGTTTATTTGCGATATTTGATCCTTATTACTGGCCCCATTGAGTAATGATTAGCACCGTAAAAAAGTTTTTTTTACTAACTTCAATATTTTGTAAATGTTGTTCTATTTACGGTAACGTAATCTTGATACTGTCTCAGGAATATGAAGATGCCTGTGCCCAGCAGTGGGACGTATAAAGGCTGTTAGGTTATTTTATAATTGAAGTATAACATCTTTCTTTTTGCCCTTGTAATACATATTTGTTTTTAAAAAAAAATCTAAATTTTTTATTTCATTGACATCCTAGCTCTACATCATAACACTTTGCGGTTAATATATTTATAGAAATACATTATTATGTTCACATTGGTATAATATGAGTTATTCCGTCTATAAGTAATATAAAGATAAGAAGCAAAATTGAAAACACATTTACAGGAAAGAAAATTACAGCCCGCCTTTTTGCATTACCTACCACTATTTATTGGATGAGAAAATAGTTACAATAAATTTTGTGATTACGCGCTGCGCAAACGTGGACACTTTTTATTACCGACACGGAACACATTACAGGAAACCGCAGTTACTGTGTCCTGTAGCGGCAATCGGATACAGTCGCCCGTTGTGATCACTGGCTACAATTCGTTGCTTGTTTGCGTCAGTTTCACCTTGGATGTCGATGGAAGAACATTACCTTTGCTTGTTGTGTTGATTACAAGTTGATCGCGTATTTACAGGCAAATCAGCCACGTCAATGTCAGCACCGTACAATTGTAAGGAAATTTGCTTTGTGTTGCTTGTGTCTGACTACTTAAAGTTTCCACCTACGGAAAGTTTTTACCTACACCGAAAATTTTTTGATTGGTGGTCGGTATGTGTCAAGTGGAAGCAACTGGACACAAAAAGTGTCTACGTCTGGAATGACTGATTTCATATTGATTACATGAAAATAAAATATTAGCTGGTAGCTTGTATCCCACACAAGATACAAAAGTGTCTACATTTGCGCAGCGCCTTTGTGTGTGTGTTAACCGCAGCACAAGGGCTAAGTGCAGCAATCAAATTGTTAATTAAAACGTTTAATGCTGATTTACCAAATGGTCGGAGGTAAAGGAAAACATTGTAAGGAAACCTGCATGTCTGAGAATTAAAAAAAATCAAATACATGTAAAGTTTCTCCAACACACATTGAGGCAGTGCGACTGACATTTCCTTGCCCTAAAACCCTCTCAGAAATGATAGGAGACCTGTGCCTAGCTATGGTACGTACTTATATAGGCTAAAGCTTTCCTTTACTGTGTGTTATATAAGTATGTGGTGCAAGAGAGATTTTTTTTTGCCTGCACATGGTGCAAATTACTGATTGACAGATGAGACTCTAGAATAGAATAGAATATTCTTTTATTCAATATAGATCACATGTATACTATAATTCTTATTGAAAGTCATTTTTTTTACTTCAACACTGGCGACCTACTCATGCCAGAAAATCCAAAATTACTGAACTCAAATTTTAAAGACTATTGACATGCGTTATGAGCATTACGTATCGCGGATCGGCTCTTATTGACCATGCATTTTTACATTGAGTATATTAATTTGCGCGCCCTTTTCCCCAAAGGGGTTCGCTTCCGATTCGGCAGAAAGGCCATACAAGTCAAACACAGTCACACAGGTGGTGTTTAGTGGGTAGGCACTTCTTCAAAGTGAGTCCCACTTAACCACGCAGCCGGCTGCTGTGGTATGCTATGAGCATTCACCACCTCCCTCCCCCGCTTCCGGAGGGTAGCCTTGGTTTGGACGCAAAAAAAAAATATTAATTCATGCCAGGTAGCGCATTGTAGACTTAAATATTCTATTTATAATGATGGTGATTTAATATAGACAAAGATCTAAACATTTTTGTGCAAAGGGTTCAGAAGTTGTTCTAATTTGTTACGATTGTTTAACATTGCGCGCAGTACTAAGGCCATGACATACTAGTATCAAGTTACGCAAGTGCCTGGTATATTTTCGAAGGTTAAGCATATTAAGTGATTTCTCTTAACTATGATTAGTAAAAAAATACTTATTGGTGTAATTTTTACGGTTATTATTCTTATTTTATTTTGACTAGCTTTTACCCGCGACTTCACCCGCGTTCAATGTTTTAATTTTTATGCGTGGAACCCTAATTCTTTTTCTAAAATAAAAGTAGCCTAAGTTGCTCCTTATAACATCAGCTATCTGTCAGTGAAAGTGCCGTCAAAATCGGTCTAGCCATTTCGGAGATTAGCCGGAACAAACAGACTGACAGACAGATAAAAATTTTAAAAATTGTCTTTTTTTATAAGTATCGTATACATTTTCATGTGTATTTAGTAAACAGCTGTTATTTTGATATTACAAACAGACACATCAATTTTATTTATTTGTATAGATATAGATTATTTAAATCGTCAAGTAAACAACTTTATATAGGAGTAAGGTTGACAAATCAGCACAGCCCACCGGATAGTAAGTGGATGCTGTGGTTGATAGACACCTATATCTATATTCGATTATGAATGAAAATGCAAATGCGTTGTCACTCCTGGGAACTAAAATGGAGTACCTCGTTACCAGTAAAAGGGTCAGCAGTTGAAGATAAAATGTATATGGATAGAAACTGTTATTCGAAGCATTACAAAGAATAGTTACAAGTTAGCCATGTTTTGTGATTCTCTAAATCTAAGGTCATAGCTTAAATTTAATTAATGTAAACATCAAAGCCAAACCTTTCAGAATAATTATGACAATGAGCTCCGAAAGGTTGTGGTTTACCATTTTTTACGCTACGCTGAGCGGCGAGGACGGGGAGCAGCATCCAGGGTGAGGCATGCAAATATGAGACATTTATAAGCTAATAATTTTATTAATTGAAGATTTAGAAAATAAAAGGTTCTCGATAAAATAAATAAAAGTGGCGTCTTCCTTAGTTTGAGGAGAACCTCCCGCCCTCCTTCAATTGCGTCCACTATCCCCGTCGCTACAAATCCCAACAACACTGCTAACCGCTATAGCGGTCACCCTTCGCAGTTTATATCTCCTGTTCATGCCTCGTTTAGAGGCGAAATTTGTGTATTATCAACAGTTGTGTGTTTTTCCAAGTTTTTAAGTGTAGTAGTGTTGAGATTAGTGGTGACGGAGATATAGGGTACGCAATTGAGGGAGGACAGGAGGTTCTCCTCAAACTAAGTAAGACACATCGACTTAATTTTATTTTTACGCGGAACTTAGATAATTGATTGTTAACATGTTTATTATAATGGATTTCCGCAAAGTAACGCCTGAATCCATTATTTTTTTTTACGTGGTAGTGCCATGCTGTACCTATATTAGTAGTATAGTTGTAGCACGAATGGGTCGGCTCGACCGGGGAAGGACCACGCTCTCATAGAATGCAAGCGTAAAATAGCAGCTTAACGCTGTTGTGTTTCGTATGGTGAGTGTAGAGAACCGGACACCCTTTTTACTGGAAACGAGGCATGCCATCTTAGTCCTCACGGGTGACGACGCATCTGCATTTTGATTTGTAATCGAGGATAAATGTAGATATCTATGGGTAGCAGTAGCCACTTACTATCATGTGGACTGTGTGCTCGTTTGTCACCCTTATCTTAAAGTTAAAAAAAAAGTTGCAGCCTATTTTGTGTCCCACTGCTGGGCACAGGCCTCCTCTCATTTCTGAGTGGGTTTTAGGGCTAGGAATTGTCCACCGCGCTGCCCTAATGAGTGTTGGCGAACTTCACATGTCTTCGAAATATTTTTTTTTCTTATTTCTTAGACATGCAGGTTTCCTCACGATGTTTTCCTTCACCGCCACGCACGTGGCAAATAAGCACTTAAAATTGCAATTAACCATTTCATTGGTGCCGGCCGGGTTTGAACCCGGGATGCTCGAGTACTGTGAAGCTTACAGCGAGCGTTAACCATCTGAGCTACCACGGCTCCCTTATCTTATAAAAAAAAATATTTTTATTAATATTAGAGTTTAAAAAAACAAAACAGCTTGATTATGAGTGTAATAGTCATTGGTTCGTGCAAAATTTCGAAAAATTTAGACATCTAGAAGTAAGTGAAAACTGAGTTATAAAATTCCATTACATTTATACATACAGGTGTTTATTGTGTTGTGGCGGTGTAAGAATATCCACTACCCTTTATCATCCCGTGGGTGGCGAAAAAGGCAACAGAGGGTAACAAATCAAATGGGCAGTAGCGTCTTCCTAATAACGACTAAAAATAAAAAAACTGCGGCTGCCAACTTTCGAAGCATGGCCACCATGGTAAATATTTTTTTAATTTTTAGGTTTCAGGAGTGGACATTAATAGGCTGTAATGGTCACGGTTATACATACATACGAGTACATATAAACAGGTGGAGCTAACATATAGCGTGTATAATTCGTATTATATCTTAAGTAAATAAAAGTAAACAAAATTATATATTGATATAGGCCTTAAATTTTGCAATTTCCTTGATTATGTTATTTGCATATATAAAACGTTTCGTGAGTAAATTACGTAATAATGTTTCTTAGTCTAAGGTTCAATAACGCCTAAACATTTTTCGAAAGAAGTGACGTAGTACATATATCTACACACGAATTGGTCGCAGATTTTGTTACCATGCTGCAGAATAGAGCTCGTCTATTTATGTTAAAAACTCATAACAAAATACAGTCATACAGTATACAGTGAACTGACAAAAGCCAAGAATGACGGACGTTCATGCTGATATTCAGTGTCGGAAGTAGAGTACTATTGAATGAACGATTGCGTTGTTAGTAAACAAACATTGGAAGCGATGATACCAACGCAGTTCTATTGTATTAATACCTTTAGTTGGCTGTTATAAATTGTGAGATTATTAAACGTTAAACTTGGTAAGTCCACTGTATTATTAACGACATTTTATTATTATTTTATTGTTCTAAATATCAAACATTGTATCAAATAAACTGTAAAGATATAATCATATTATTTTAATAAAAATTTAAAAATAAAAATCAAAACATTATCATAGTGTTTTTTTACTTGCGCGTTACTTATTATTTTTTACTTGACTTTTTTTGTTAGTGTTAGGAAATAAGTAAAAATTATTACATAAATAAATTATAGTTTAAAAAAAGTAAACAAATACGATAAAGATAAAATAATTTTATTTTATCCTGGTCATCCTGATCAGGATATTAGGATAAACTTATTAAATTCTAGTACTATGTTCAAATTTATGAGTCGATCGATCGTCTATAAGTTGTGAAAACTATAATAAAAGATTCCGTTATGTAGATAGATAGATATACGCGAAGAGAATATAAAAGCGTGTCGAAAAGAAGTCTACGAATAACTATTTAGAGCTTATTTTCTTTAAAAAAATCTAATAATAAAATGACAAACCTATATGGGCTACGGTAACACATGGAAACCTGCAACCGACTTCAAAGGCTACAGATGCGCACATAGTTTCTTCGGCTACTTCTTATTAAAAAGAGTCACAGCACGTAGCTTTTTTACCTGTATCTATACTTTATCCATAGATGATCCTTATATTTACATTATCTCTCTTAGCCTTCAAAGGAAAGGTAGGGTACGTAACGGTAGGAATAGGGAATAGGGAATACTAGGGAAAAAGAGCTAAGCCAACACTTACTATAAAGTTAATTATATTATTTTAGGAACATCACACTTATACATATGAAATCACACATGCCTTAACATTTTATAAAATTTTTTGTACCTTTTAAATACAAAAAACTTCCGTATTTTGTAATTTCCGTAAAGTAGTAATGCCTAACTAATTAATTAAGGTCACGAAAGCCGCCGGGGTTCTTACCAACGATGACCAATGGAATTGTTATTTGCAATTTCTAAGGCTGATTCACCACGTGCTTCTGTGTAGGTATCCTCTGTGTGACTATTTGACCATAAACTATTATATATAGATTATTTTGCAATAACCGGCCAAATTTGCAAAGAACGTTCAGAATAAATAGTATGGGAAAATAGTGAAGAAAAATTAATTAAAAAGAAATCTCAAACGTTTTGTCCTTTTTACTTTTATATTCATAATGCATGGAAATGCATTATTTTAACTGATTTTACTGCGCACGCACACATTCGTAAAGGTCGATCAGTAGACAAAAACTGCAGTAACGGTTATCATTTTATTTAATGTATTTGTAACATACATTTTGGCATTCTGAACTCCTTACCCATATAAGATTTAACTCTGCAAAATATCACACAAAATTTTCTCGTCATGTAATAATATATAAATAACTATACATAAACGTGTGCGACACCAGAGGAGTGATGCGGCGAGTGATGAGGAGGGATACAACTTGCATTGCCAACTTTTCCGAAATTAATCTCTTTTCTTGAAGGTCCCTAAGTCATGTCGGTCCTGAAAATTGTAAATTCCACATTGTGGTCGTGCGTGGCAGAAAATTTGCGTTATTTAACCAATAATGGATGACCAACCACCGAAATTATATGAATTTATAGTTCTGTCGCAGAATTAGTGGAATTTAGCGACTGGAATCAAACCAAACAATTTCTCGGAGCAATTCCCGTCGTATACAATGAGAGTTGCAATGTCTCTTCGCGGAAGGATATTGTTCGAATTAGTAAATAAAGTGAATATTTCTTGGTACGAAATGTAATTTGTTTCTTATGTAATGTGTTCATTAGAGACTAACAAATATTTCTGGCAATTCTACCTCATTGTGCTTTTACAACAAAGTCCCAGAAAATATGCAGAACTTATCTATCAAAAGGTTTAAATTATGTATTAAGTAAAAATTGTCTAGTAAGGGTTATTATACTACTAAAGAGTACATGACTGATAATAACCCATGGGAATGAGGTGATCGCTACCATGCTGTTCCTAAATGTTTTCATAACAATTGTATAAAGTTTCAGTTTCCCTTTGTCGCCTCTAACGACACCCACGGGGGGAAATGGGGGAGTGCATATTTTTAGATCGCCACTGCACGGTATTTCCACTAGTTTCCACTTACGATATCTATAGGATGATAGATGATATATATATATATATAGACTCAAAGATTTTCTTACGCCGTCAAACATAGTAATTTATATAAACGTAGGTTAAATTTTCCTTTTTCATATTATAATTTCATATGTTATTCGTGATAATGAATAATATCGTAAAAACGCAAGTCGTACCGGAAATTAAGCATCAGATGCCCGTCTTTTTACCTTCTATGTCGTTTCATGTATATTTTACAAAATGAAATACACTTCCTTAAATATTTTTGAACTAATTTTCTTTTTATAACACTTGGAGAGAAAAACTTTAAAGTAAATTCGCCCTTTATATCCTTAATATAGGAAATCGTCTTTGAATTTAAATTTGTTTTTACTTGCTACAGAATTTACGCAGGCAATTAAATATAACAAAATGAGACTCATGCCAGACTTATATCGGCTGCAAGTTATCGTAGTATAAACTTTGTAGTAGGTGTTGCACTGAAATAAAAATCCATTAAACAATATTTGCACATTTGCAAAGCATAAATTTATAAGTAATGTTAGACATCTTAGAGATAACGGGCATAAAATAATTATATATAAACAACTATAATAAAATGTTATATTTCTATCTCTTAATTTAGTGTTGAAGCGCAGGTAAACACTGGTTTAGCCAACGAGGAATCGTTTATAAGTGTTAATTATCAATAATGTGTTAGTTTTTAAGTGACTAAATCTCTGCCTTACATACTTATTGATTCACATGTATCGACTAAAATATGTGGGTTCATTTACATTTCGAAACCACTGTAAGTGTTTGTACGGGGCCAATTTGAGGTCGTACAATAGCAAGTAGAGTTGGTATTTAAGGGGACCCTATTTGTATTCAGAAGGACTATTATCTATACATGTACCTATATAAAAGAGGATGTCCTGTATTACTAACTAATATATTAACTCACAGCCAAAACCGATTGACGTAGAAATCTGAAATTTGGACAGTTAGTGCCTTTTATGACGTAAGCATTCACTGAGAAAGGATTTTGTAAAATTCAACCCCTAAAGAAGTAAAATAGGATCTTACAGTTTGTATAAAACTTTTTATGTTACGGGTGATTGACTCAAATCTTACTAAAAAATACTCAGTAAATAAAATAAAATAAATCAATTTTGTGATATTACTTATAGGCGAGTGTATAGTTGTTTAAATTTATATGGAGATAAAATAATTAATTTTACATTATAAACTGCTATTTGCAGCAGTTAATAAATTAAAAAAGACCATTATGTAGTTATTTTTACGTCTTACTCCTGATTAAAAATGTACTGTACTTACCCATTTTTTTTCCAAAAATTTACCCTTAAGGTTTTAAAATAAGGGTGCAAAATTGAATGAAAAATAATGTATTAACACGCACAGCCCAACCGCTGGCCGTAAATTGGGACAATAGCTTTCTTTTATTACTAAGGCATCCACTAAGAAAGAATTTTGAAAAATTCTTTGCTAAAAGCGTGAAATAGGTTGTTACACATTACAGTTTATATGAAACTTTTTATTTTTCGAGGCACTTGTCCCTAAAATGACAGTTCAGGGCCAACGCGACATTAGGTTACTCCAGAGTTGGATTCGGACCCTCAAAAACATTGCAAATGGAAAATAAAATTATACTTTACCATTTGTCCAAAATTATACGACGTTTGAAGTTTCATGTTTTTTCGCATGCGCCGGAGTTTTCGAGCCACGCGTCTATTTTAACGTTTCATTTTTCGGTGTAATTGTTTTGAATTGAAATAAAATTGCATTACGATATCATGTTCATAGCAAATTCAAATATACTGCTATGAACATGATATCGTCTCTGTCAGAACGACAGGGATAGTAAAACATCACGTGAGGAATCCCCGCCTACCCTGTGGTTGCCTGATTTGGTGCTGCTGAACAAAATTCACGATGTTACAGAGTAAATATTAAAAAAGTAAAAGAGGTCCTTTTACTTTTTAATATACCAATAATACAAGTCGATCGACCTGAAGATAATATTATGGTATTTTCGCGTAGTATAGTGGCATAGTATAAATGTTAAGCACCAAGGTAAGAGCAAATGTCCCCAGGCGGGGGTCTTTCGCTCTTACCTCCCTCATGCTGGGGTCCCCAGATGGTGCTACTTTTAATTTTATGAAGAAGGTATAAGTAAAATGTTTAGATGGGCGTGTCCTGCCTTTCGAGCGCTTACAGCGCTTACGCTGGCTACACCTTAAGAAATACATAGATACATAATATACTAAAAATTTGTAGTCTTCAAAAACCCTATAGAAAAGTCCCCAATGGCATATGCCTACTAAGACTGACTCACTCTAACCATTTTTATTTTTAAAATATTAATTAAATATATGTATTAGCTTTTTTCGAAGTTATTTCCTCCAATTCAATATTAATGTTTTAGAAATGTGTTAGAGAACCGGAGACCGTTTTTACTGGCAAAGAGGCATTCCATCTTAGTCCTCACGGGTGACAACGCATCTGCATCTTGAGTCTTTATTGAGGATAGATGTAGATGTCTATGGGTCACAGTAACCACTTACCATAAGGTGGACTGTATGTTCGTTTGTCACCCAATCCTATAAAAAAAAGTTACTTTGGGCATTAAATGTAAATCAAAATTATCCCTTACATTATAATATCCCTTAAATTAATACTATAGAAGATATCACAGATTCAAAATTATGCGCAAACAAAAAAAGAAATAGATTGCCCGACAGGCCGCCGCGCCGCGCCCTTCGTTGTCTGCACATGAAAACCGACATTTTGTGGTGTAATTGTTGCTCAAAGAGCATATTATGCCACAAGACAATGGAAGAATAGTTCTTGACCGTGAAAATTCTATTACCT